GGGAAGAGAGAATAAGAATATTCAAGATTGTGCTGGTAATTATAGCTGAGACCCGCTCTGATTCTGTACTCAAGCAGATGTTCAGAGCCCTCTTGACACTCAGCACTGCTCGCTGCTTTTCATGTSGCCCCATTGAAGGCAAACGCATGCATTGTGTTTGGTAGCTGAGCTGTTTCACAGTTGAACTTATGCCCATCCTTTGTTAACTGGAGCTTTGCTACCTATTCAACCTGCCATATTTGCTAGGTTGTCACAGCAGCCCTTTAAAATTATAAGCTCCCCCCSACTCCCCCACATCTCAGTACACATTTGATTAGGGTTCAATATATGTTTATGGCTTAAGTAAGAAAATTAAAAAAAAATTATTTAAATGTGTTTTACTTTAGCAAGAACACTTACTAGATCTACCCTCTTAAGTTTCCAAGTGTACAATACAGCATTGCTGGTTACAGATACAATGTTGAACAGCATATCTCTAGAATTCTTGCTTAACTGAAACTTTACATTGTTTACTCCCTATTTCCCCCTCCTCAACCCTTGGTATGATTTATTTTTTTGTTTGCCTTATGTTTATGGTTAAGTTAAAGAGAAATTTTGTTATCAATCCTTTATACTCTCAAATGCTATCATAAGTTATTCACATACATAAGGTATTCATCCCGGAGTTTCTAAAAACATGTAATGACAAATAACAGCTAGTGATTCTAATGTTGAACACTCCCCACATGCCAGGCCTGTTCTGATTGCTTTAAGTGAAGTGTCCTATTTAATCCTCACAGCTACCCTCTGAGGGGGGTGAGGTGGGTGTTCTCCTAGAGTGTAGAAGAGAAATCAAACATTTAAATAAGTCAGGTGACTTGTGCACAGCACACAGCTCCAAAGGATCTGATTCTGGCCTGAGGTTGAAACAGTGTAACTACAGAGCCACACTCATAATCTCTACAGCTGCAGAGAGGAAACTCAGAACCAAACAACTAGGATTCTGTCGGAAATCAGAGGCTGGTTTGCTTGTCTGAGTCTTAGCATCCTTTTGAATAGAGTGCCTCTTCCTCCTTGAGATTGTAACTCCCATGTCTCGTAATTTTTCCCTTTCATTCCCTACATTCTGCTGATAACTCACATTCTAAAATCTTCTCCTTTCCTTCTTTGAGGCAATTTCAGTACGGGTTTGTTAGCTAGAGAATCACAGAAGCACTTTGTTACAGTTCTGTGCAGATGCTGAGGTGTAAGTCCTAAGCTGCTACCCRCATATCTGCACTTGTCTTTGCCTGTGGGAAACTACCTCATTCTAAGGGAAAATCAGAAAATAAGCATTTTTATATTAAAACATAAATATAGGGATTGTAATAAGGACAATATCATATAATTAGGCAATTACAGATCTGGTTGTTTAACCAATCAAATTTTATTAAAACAAAATGAATCACACACACACAAACACACACATACACAAACACCACACTTAAACCTTCAAACCTAAAAGATTTGTACTACTCTTAGCAGTTAATGTTAATTTTAAATTTTATGTTACAGCTACTCTGTGTTATAGAAAAATAGTATATTTTGAAGTGTACTTCATTCAGGGAATTAGTAGGAAAATTTTAATTGTTTCTATTAGTTTTGTCATTCTAGTGAAATAATATTAATCTATGGATCTACTATGGATTTCTCTTTTGATAAAATAGTAACAATTGCCTCATAGTAGACTGGCTTTGTCATCATGCAAAGAGGAAAGGAGGGTAATTGCATGCTTTTCCCTTATACATTTCTATACACAATCCTTCTCTCCCAAAGAACATCCTCCTCCAATTTTTATCCCTTTAGGACATAATGTGCAGTCAATGTTGAAAAATTATTTTTGCTAAAGCAACCATTTTGCTATTATTAGGCATTTATTGCTTGAATATGCTCTACTTCTGGAATAATGTTTGACATGACAAGAATCTGCAAGCAATAGTTTGGGTGCTGGGGAAAGAGGAGAGATACCAATGTAAAGGTTGGGCAGAAGTGAAGAAGTACCAAGTAAAAGAAAGTTGGCAGCAAGGATAGTCTTTTCTCAATTCCCAACATTTTCCCCCAGATCTGAAGCATCCCATTTGATAGATATCTTGGACACCTTACCAGAGTGTTGGTTCATATTTGTAGGTGATAAGTTTAAAAGTTTGAAGAGTGACCATGTGCCTAAGACTGGTCTGTGCTTTCCTTAGATATGACCCTATGTATCTCCACCTTAATTTTTCCATTCTTTCTGAGCCCAATTCCATCATTAGGGTGTGATTCTCCACTGATCTATGCTTGTCTCTTTTTTGGTAACTTCTGCACACAATGGCCTTGTTATCTTCCATGAAAGCATTGCTATTGATTTGGGGATCACACAGCAGATACACCAGGAAGGCTAGCTAGCTATTTGAGAAGGTTTGTGTTAGCCTATCCAATGTTTCAATCTTGGGTTTTTAGTGTGCAGACATAGCACATAAACTCATGATAAAAACTTCATTTAATCTTAGATGCAATTATTTTGCCTTGGGATAAATTTGAAGGATTTCTTAAACTCAGCATTTTTGGGAATAGACTAGCTTTGGCTGGTATTCTCTTTTGGATGGGAATAGTCCCGTGTCACATTGTGTCAGAATTAACTGGACAAGGAAGAAACTATTTGCTAGCATTTGGTGAAAGCTCATTGATCCAAAGGAATTTGTAAATAAGCAGGATGATAAGATCTAAGAGACTTTTAGATTATCAAGACCCTTTGCATCTATGTCCCATTCCATCCAAGTTGCAGCATTTGGCTTCACAATCTCAGGTAAAGCTACTCTTAGGTCAAATCTCCATAAATACTATTTGGTGGTCTTTCTCTAAGTGTCTTTGAACATCACTTTGGGATTCACAGTGATAGTTTATTGTGGCCTTCCCATGTGATAACCACTATTTTAATGTGTTACATGTCTTTGCTCCTTCAAACTCATGGCAACCCTATGAGGGAGACACCTCATCTTTTTCAGTGCTGTGACTAAAAGACAAACCAGAACAATTTTAGAGGAGGAAAAGTTATTTGAAGGTTCAGTTTCAGAGGTMTAAGTCCATAGACAGCCAGCTCCATTCCTCAGGGCTTGAGGTGAGGCCGGATGTTATGGCACAAGAGAGTGGCAGAGGGAAGTGGCTTACATGATAATCAGGAAGAAGAGAGAAACTTCACAAAATATATACCTCAAAGGCATGCCCCTCAATACTCACCTCATCCAGCCACAATCCTACCTGCCTTTAGTTACCACTCAGTTAATCCCATCAGGGGATTGACTCACTAATTGGGTTAAGGCTCTCATAAGTCAATCATTTGTCCTCTAAATCTCTTTGCATTGTCTCACACATGGCCTTTTGAGTGACACCTCACATCCAAAACATAACAACACCATTATCACCTTCACTTTACAGAGACAATAAACAGAGGCAAAGGGAGTTTAAAGGACTTTATCACAGGGTGCACAATTTGTAAGTGCAGATCTAGGAATCCTAGGAAGTCTGGCCCTGCAGTCCATGGTCTTACTCCCCCTGGGATTAGGATAGATTCCTTCCAACTCTGGTAGCTGATAAAAGGACATTTCCAGTCTAGACACCTGCATGGCTAAGTCTATAGAGGGGTCCCTACAGTGCAGCTCTAGTTCCTAATGGGTCTGACTTTTAAATGCTCTTCAGGAATGACCTTTTACTTTGATAACAGTTTATAAGGATACTAGAGAGTCCAATGAGGCTGCGGAGTGGTAATAAGGATCATGTCTGATATAGGCTGCAGAGGTTTCTTAGGACTGGTTCTCCAGGCGCCTGGAAATGGAGGTTTATAGTGAAACTTGTCTTTTTAATGGGTACCTAGAGATTCCCTTCAGCATCCCTAACCTAGACCAGTCAGTCTGCATTTTAAATGGTTTACTTGTATTGGCTGTTTTGGCTCCTTTGGGTCTTTGGCTGTGTTCATTTCTGTCCTAAGTCCTTTATGTCAGGATTATAAGTCTCTGTTTCAACTTTAGGCCAGTGAAGCCATTGGGACACTGTTTCCTCTGAATCTCTGGTTTAGTTGGGTAATCAATTCTTCTGAAACAGTGAAGACTGGGGTTTTAGGAAAACAATGTTTTAATATAACTCTCACAATCTAAACTGAACTGACCTTTTGACTGTGCGTTGTTTTGCTTCTCTGTCAATTATCTCTAAGTCATTGAATATTGCATGTCTTAATTTACATGGCTGTTTCTAGACTATGTTTTAAGTCCATTATGATAAAACATTATGGGTTTGGGATGTGGCTCAGTGGTATAGTGGTTGCCTAGCATATGTGAGGCACTGGGGTTTGATTCTTAGCACTGCATATAAATAAATAAAATAAAGATATTATGTCTATCTACAACTAAAAGCAAATTTAAAAGATAAAACATTGTCTTATATGATATGCCAGATGTTTAAGATAATACACATATTATTTTATTTTGGCCAGTTATACTAGAATTCCTTTGCAAAATTAATTTYTAAAATATAACTATGGCATGGACAATTGGAAATCTAGAGAGTCAGTTGACATACTTAAGAGAATCCCTATTTTAAAGTTTATGATAATTTTGAAGCAGAGAAAGAACATAATGATTTATAAAAYTTATTTTTAAAGTGTTAGGATTTTGATGTTTGGAAATAATTAATTTAGTTTGATGTATGTTTGAATTTAATTTGGTTTTCTCATGCTAGATAATCTTCTCTTCCACTAGTCAATGTTTTTATACAGATTACTAGGTCATGTTTAGTGGATTTTATCCACCCATACCTTTCCTCTTCTACTATTATATAAAAATAGAAGTGGCACTTTGTTACATCTTAATAAATATTGGCCAGATACTGAAGACTCTTTTAAAAAAGAAAAGTGTCATTTAATTCTGAGGCTTTGAGAAAGGACTTGGATCTGTGTGTTAGGTGATCTCAGATGCAGAGATATAAATGCCAATTTTCTGTTCCATTTTTAGGTCACATGTGCCAATTTAACAAACGGTGGAAAGTCAGAACTTCTGAAGTCGGGAAGCAGCAAATCCACACTGAAGCACATATGGACAGAAAGCAGCAAAGACTTATCTATCAGCCGACTCCTGTCACAGACTTTTCGTGGCAAAGAAAATGATACAGATTTGGACCTGCGATATGACACCCCAGAACCTTATTCTGAACAAGACCTCTGGGACTGGCTGAGGAACTCCACAGACCTCCAAGAGCCTCGGCCCAGGGCCAAGAGAAGGCCCATTGTTAAGACGGGCAAGTTTAAGAAAATGTTTGGATGGGGTGATTTTCATTCCAACATCAAAACAGTGAAGCTGAACCTATTGATTACTGGGAAAATTGTGGATCATGGAAATGGGACATTTAGTGTTTATTTCAGGCATAATTCCACTGGTCAAGGGAATGTGTCTGTCAGCCTGGTGCCCCCTACAAAAATTGTGGAATTCGACTTGGCACAACAAACCGTGATTGATGCCAAAGATTCCAAGTCCTTTAACTGTCGAATCGAATATGAAAAGGTTGACAAGGCTACCAAGAACACACTCTGCAACTATGACCCTTCCAAAACCTGTTACCAGGAGCAGACCCAAAGTCACGTGTCCTGGCTCTGCTCCAAGCCCTTCAAGGTGATCTGTATTTACATATCCTTTTATAGTACAGATTATAAACTAGTACAGAAAGTGTGCCCCGACTACAACTACCACAGTGACACACCTTACTTCCCCTCCGGATGAAGATGAACAAGAGGGTGAGACTGAAGCCTGAGGAATTAAAGGTCATGTGACAGGGCTGTTACCTCAAAGAAGGTCACAGCTGTGGCCGGGAGTGTATCTGCACGGCTGTTCTTGTCTGCGTCAAAGACACTCGTGGAAAGCAATCTGACGTCACCTCTGCCCAGTCAGCTTCATCTCTCAGTATAGTTGTAAATCATCACAGATTTTAAAGTCATACTTGAGGGCATACCCTCACATGTAGAGGTACACAAACACACACTCATGCACATCTCAGCTTGCATCTGTCATCGGTTGAGAGGGCTTTCATTGTTTGACTCATAATGGTTCAGGATAAACTATCATCAAACGAAAGGATCAACTAGACAGAAAATGTTTCTAACATTCACCGTTATGGAAATCTCTTTTTAAAGTCTCTAGTCCATGCTAATCAATAATCCCCACTCATGCATTCCTACTGCTTGGAGTAGCTGTACTGGTAAATACTACTGTAGGAGTATATGCTTGTTAAAATGGAAAAAAAAATGTGTCTTTAGAGCTCAGTATTCTTTATTTTATGAACACAACAAAGTGTAGTAACTTTTTTCCAGCATATGGTAGGCACATTCAAGGTGATACAAGATGGCTCTTTTTTTTTTTTTTTTCCCTATGGAAGGAGCCTGTTTTCAGTAAAGATGAGCAAACATTTGGAATTTACATGTGGGCAGATGTTGGGATTACAGCTTTCATCGCCAATCATTGGACATTTGCGAAGTTGAGACCAGCTAAGGCTGCTTAAAACAGTTCTGATCATTATATAAGAAGGAAAATGCCTGGCAGACACCATGTAAGTTATAAGTGTCTGTCTTATCTTTACTACACATATTGTAACAAATTCAATATCCTAGTCTTCATTTGTATGAATGGTTTGTATTGTACATAGTTTAACCAAGTGTTATTTGAGCTGCTTATTAATATTAAATTGTACTTGTCTCTCTGCTTGTTATTGGTTAAAAAAGAAAAAAAAAGGATATGAGGAATCCATTTTATCAATGTAGCTGTGAACTCCATTAAAAAGACAAACAATGTACAAAGCATTTATTCAGCTCAAGTATTGTTGAAAGCTATACATATACAACATTACACTGTCTGTATTTAGATATTTTATTTCTGGAGAAAACAAAATGTACATAAAAATAAAACACTTAAATTTGAGTTTCAATATGTACTGTGTAAGATGGTGATTTAAATGTTTCTGACAAGAAGAACATGCTGGAATACAGTCATGGCTTTGCATCTCATGTCTTTAAATTTGTATAGAATTATCTAAATTGGTGTTAGTTGCCCATGCCAAACTACTTATTTCAATATCAAACCTGGGAAATAATTGTGGTATACAGCATTGCACACATTTTAGTTTTTACTGTCTTGTTAGTTATTCAAGAATTTTTAAAAAAGTCAATGAACATAGGAGATAATTGAGGTTTCCTAAATTTAACAATAAGTAGTTGAATTGGTTTTTTTGTATAGAGTCTTTATTAAGTGGGAGGATCGAAGGGGTATGTGTGTGTGTGTGTGTGTGTGTGTGTGTGTGTGTTTACAAAAAATTAAAATATCTGAAGATGGTGACTGAGTTTCTCTGATTCAATACAACTAAAAACATTTTGGGAGCAATAGAGGGCTTCAATGTTTAGTGTATGTATAGCAGATGAGATTAAGTTGTCTATGTAGTATTGTTTTTGGACATTAAACTTTCTTAAAAAAAAAGAGGGGAAAAAAAAACTAATGGCTAACCATTATACATTACTCCAGCAAAATAAAGAGTTAACATAAAACACCAATTTTAAAGCCATGAATTTGGGATTGAGATTTGAAATCTCAACAGTTAACCAAAGAAGCCCAATTAAGAGCGCTGATYTATTCTTATCTCATATATGTTAGAGAGAAGTCTATTTTCACATAGAAAACAATATAAATATTACAGAGGAAAAAAACACAGAATTCTAAAGTAAGAACTCAATAACTGGTTTGACTAATGAGTTTCCATCTGCAGATGAAACATTTGTCATTCTGTTAAATGTCCATCTCTAATAAAAGTCCTTCAGTATATCTGGACAACCATTTATATCCATTTATACATGAACTTGTCATGGAATTTGGAGGCTAATATTAGAACAGATTGTGGCAGAACAGGCAATAAAAACTTCATGGGTTCTAGCTGCAGGACATACTTGCCACAGATATATCTTATTATTTTGGAGTTTATTTATCAACATGATCACTTAGGAGTCATTTGGCTTGTAGCAAATAAGAGAGTGAGAAAGGGAAAATCATTTTTTTTCTTTAAATTTTTTAATGCATAGCCTATGACTTTCATTATGTGAACTGATCCATCCTCTTGTAACCTAGAATTCAACATGAGATGAAATATGCTTCAGTTGCCCCACTCCTCTGCTTTCTAACCTCCCAGTGAAATAATGCTTTCAAGTTTTTAACAAATGTACAGAACAATGACTTGAATTGTTTTTCTTTAGAAGAAAAACAAAATGAAACATGTAGCAAACATCCAACAAGGATATAAATTTTTAAAAATCCAAAATGTCAGGACTTTTTCTGGATCTGACACACTTTTTCCAAACTTCTACATCATCTATACGTTCCCTCTGTAACTCAGAGTCATCATGATCATACAGAACTTCAATACAAGAGAAAATGTATTTATATTCAATATATTATTCTGGTTTTAGACAGGCAGGGGATGAAGGATGATCATCAATATGAAGATTCAAAAGTTCCATTTAAAAACTTTATTTGACCAACTTGTTGATTCAACAATTGAAGAAGTTTTAACTATGTTTAAAAATGCACTGGTTGTTTGGGAAAAATAAATTTTAAGCATCACTAAGGAAACAATCTTCTCTAGAATCTTAAAAATTATTCCACATCTTTGCTAAKATATAGGGGGGAAAAAACCTAAATGAAATAGATAGCAAACACAGGTTTGTCAATCACTTTTGGAATATTTTAGTAAAATCAAATTTATTAGGAATAAATGATTATTGCAGCTTCTTGACCAGTAGAAGGAAAATGGTATATTTTTAGTTTACTTACATATGATAAAAACCAATTTTCATGATATGGTTTCTATTGAGCCTTTTTGGCTTCATGGCTCTTGGGAGAATTTCCGTGCATAAGTGGAAGGGTCTCAGTTGTTTCTAGTACATATAAAGTTCTCGAAGTTATTATTTTGCAAGTAGTTGAAATACAAAATTTAAAACTTCAGACTGAGAATTTTTAGGTTCCTTCATTTCAGCAATAAGTAGTAAACAATATTTTTGCACAGAATAGATTAAAAAAATCACGAGAAGACTGAGAAAGTGTTTTTTTTACACTCTCCCCCCCCCCCCCCGCCGCCACACACACACTGCTTTACATGTAAGATGCAGCTTCACCAATATAAACAGCTGTTTGGAAAAGCAATTTGCATCTCAACCATCAACTCTGAATGCCAAGTTTTAACCTGATGGAAATACAAATGGCTGTATTTGTAAACCTTTGAAAGATTTGGTTAATGTACCACTTTCAGATGTTTATTTGTTTAACTATCAATCTATTAATGTATTTTATATTTATTATATTTTTATTTTAAAAAATACAAATCAGTAAATGCATTCAAAAATTTTAAAAAATTGCATGTTTGCATAAAATGATTACCTTAGTTTGTAGGTGACACAAATTGATTACATTTATGACCTGACTCAAATACTGAAAAACTGATCTCTAGGTCACACTTTTCTCAGGTATGTATCAAAGAATGATTGCAAGGGTTGAAAACATAAGGGGAATAATTAAAAATTGTGGTGTATCACTGAGTTTTATATACAGAATAGAAATACTTTTAAGTAACAAATCTACAATTACTTTTATTTCACAAGGTTAGAAAGAATAGAAATCTTACAATGAAAGAGTTTTAGTTTTGATTTGCTCAGTGAGCAAGTTCTAGGAAAACAGACAAAAATGAAACTGGAAGTGCAAAGCAGCCGTCTGTCCCAGGTTTGACCAAGGAACTTAAACATTTATAGTTCTGTATTTGCAGAAATGCACTTTATATTACTGAAGGATTGTCATTTGGCTCCAAAGCTCCCAGGTATGATGCCTTCACAATTTAAACCTTCACATTTAAATTGTGAAGGTTTACAGACTTTCCATTGGTGTCTGTGGCTGTAGTGCTCTTGCCATTGGAGTTCAGGTGCTGTTTCCAATTTCCAATCTGTGAATGAGACATACAGGTCAATTCACATCCTCACGTAGCAGGAGCTGACTTCTTATTTCCTGATCCTGTACCAGGACTTCAAAGGGGCAACTAGAATATTAGGACTCTGACCATCAGATTCCTCTGAGAGTGGTTGTGATAAAGAAATAATGYATGAAAGTTGTTAGGATGCAGCTATTCCCAAATAAGTATTTTTTTAAAAATAAAATAACTGTCATTGTTGCTGCTACTGCCAACATTTACCTGTGGCTTTTCTGAAACACAGTTTTACTATCAAAATCAATATTTTTTTTTGCATTGTTCCAGAAGTTTTCAGTAGAAAGCATTGCTAAGTGACACTTAATAAGCTGGTCAAAATATTGCAGGGACATTTTAAGAGAGGCAAGCAATTGCTATTCTCTCATTATTCACAAAAGAGAAAGAGGTGCAAGTTCATGACACAGCAGGTGTTTACAGAATACTAATAGGTAAGCCATTTTCTGTATTAAGCAGTTTCCATGTGATCCCTCACTTAAGCCTCCCAACTCCATGAGGTACTGCTTTTGTGCTCTTTTTGAAAGAGGAGTCAGATGCTCAGAAGCATGAAATAACCTACTAAAGTGGGTTATCTATCTTAAGTGATAGATTAGAGTCAAATTSCATCTCTATCCCAGAGATTGACTTTTAAAACTTTTATTCCTCTTACTCTATTTTTAAAAATTCTTCAAATTGCACTGAAAGGAGTCTACATACAATATACTTTTTAATATAAGCATAAGCATACTATCATATGGAAGAGAAATGGGTAATTCATATAGTTCATTTATTTTTAACTATTTTCCATTTCTTATATTTGCTCAGGACCCCTCAGAGTCCCATAATTAAATCTCGCCCTGGTCCCACAGAAACCAGCTCTGATTACTCAGGCCAATCTAGTACTACRGCAGTCAGTTTTGTTCCCTAAACCACGTTTTGTAAAATCATTTTTGATTTAGGGTCAGAGGTGTCTTCAAGCTTAATAAATCTGAAAGTTGTAGGTCAGGGATGAATAGAGTTGTAATGTAATTCTGAATTACCCCAGGTTCCTGCATGGGAATCTTGTTTCAAGGAAATACTGCTACATGTTTTAAAAACTTTCAGCAACATGATTTCAGTGTCCTCAAAAGTGATTCAAGTAATTTTTATATGGGTTCCATTCAATTCTTTTTATGTCATTTTGTAATGTGTCTTTCTGCTTTCCTGTGATAGTCTCTGAATTGTACATTCTCACAGATGAAAAACACAATTGCAGGAGGGTATTTCTGCATAAAGCTTGAGTGGATGGGGAAATTTGAAAGGACAGCTCAATCTTCTGATATGTTTTATTTTTCTTGCTTGTAACATCTTACTCTTAAAACAAACACATCAGAAAACTCTATCCATTTTCTTGCTTTACTTTCTCAGTTTTGCCAGAAACCCAGATCTGTACATAAAAACAGGAACTGGAATATGCTCCATGCTTTTCTTTCTTGTACCCTGGTTCTATGATTATGACAGATATGCTTAGACTCATTTAATTATTTTCACTTATTTGCTCATGTTTTGCTCATGTACAAAATCAACATTTGAGAGAAACAGTGAGAAGGCGAGTTATATTCTCTTGTTTTAATTAGAATCATGCTTGTATTCTCCCAGAATATAAACAGTCTATGAACTCTCTCTTCATTATCACCTGAGCTAATCTCCATCTTTCCATTCTTTCTCCAAATGTTAGGGGGAAAAGAATGTGATCATTAAAATAACACTATGTTCCAGTCAAAAATACTTATAATATTTCACTTCATAAACATTATAAAACACTGGGAGATTAATTGAGTTTAAAATGCTGTTCTTCATTTTATTAGTTTGCAGCACTATTTTGGGAGAGGGGTCAGGTATTTTTCAGGTATTTATTACTCAATAGGTCATTTTTAGTGAGACTTGATAT